GCAGTGTTGTCATGATTTTTTTGTGTGTTCGTTAATTTATCGATGAGATGCATGTTTCGTGTGCATGCGGGTTTTCGTCAACAATTTGATTAAACAAAAATTTGGAGTTTTTGCGAATCATGAAACTTCGACTTCTCGTGTTGGAATTCGATCTGTCAAATTCAGAAAGATTGATTGTGTCGGATCAATATACATGCGTGATTAAAATTATGCGGCTGCATTTGCCTTGCCTGGTATATGGCCTACGACAATGTTGAAAGAGAGAGGTCGATCAACAAAGTTCCATAATGATGAATGTATGTTTTTGGCCTCAAAAAATCGTTCTAGGCTTAAGCTATCAGTGAGGACTAAAACTGGTTTTTCTGCCCCGAAACATAGTGCGCTAAATGGTCTAAGGCAAAATGCACTGCTAAAAATTCCTTGCAGTAAATTGATAGTTTCAACTGACTGATTAAACAACTGATAGCCAAAAAGAACAGGTGCATACGACTTTGTTTTTTCAATTGTTTTGTTATTTTTATCAACTAACCTTCCATCATCAAAACAAACCCAGCCTGGTGAAAACTAGAATCTGTGAAAATGACATACTTGATCTGGTTTTGCCAGACGGAGTGTCATTTTTGTCGCTGTAAACAAGTCGTTTTTAAAAATCTCTAAAGCTTTATCATGTGTTTCGTCTGTTTTTATTTCGATGTCTTTTTTAAAAGCTGATAAAATGGCAATACGCTTTCGTCCATGTTTTGCAAGAACTATCAAAAAACTAATTCAATTCAATGAGGCGCTTGATTTCTTTCGGTGTCTCTGGCATTCTAATTTGGCTGAAAATATCTGAATTTTTTCAGTTGCTGGTTGTATACCATTTGAGGTTTTCCCAAAAACTGGATTTTTTCACTACCAAATTGACAGTTAGCTGATGAAAGCTTTAGACTGGAACGCTTAATACATTTAAAGACTTGGCGTAAGTTGATTAGGAAATCGGATACGTTGTTTGCTGCAGTAGCAATATCGCCCAGGTATTATGTACAAATGTTAGCAGCGAGACAAGAAACAAGATATGTCCCAACTCAAGAGCTGAATCCTATTACTGATTTTCATAGCACTTGATCTTAACATCTATATGCATATGTACGTGATGCAAAATTGAAAGCTAGTAATTGGACTGATAAATCGTCAGCCATTTGAACAGAATGCTAGGCCTGTGAACAGTCTAGCTTACAAAAAAGTCGTTTGCCAGCAAAGTGTTGCACTGCTACTTCCATTTCAGAAATTAGAAAATGAGTGTTTTTGTAGTCATGTCTAAGTAAGTGATTAATGTGGCGTAAATCAACGAGAATTCGTAGTTTGCCATAAAATTTGCGCTGAACGAAAAATGGGCTTCTGTATTTTGATGATGACAACGTGGTTATGATGTTATAGTATTGCATAACGGCTAGTTCGATTCTTCTCGTAAGTGAATGCTTGTTGCCGGAATGTGTGAGTAAATTGGAAGTGAATGTTCTGGCTTTTACTTCACTTTATACCCAGTGTTTTATCCTACGTCAAAACGATGGCGTGCAAAAATATCGTTATATTCAACAAGTAACTGCTATTTGTAATTTTTTTTTCAAAAGTTAGGAATGAATCTTTTCCTGAAAAATGTGATTATTTTTCCGTCCTTTTGAGTTCCTGCAGCGAATCAAAGATTTATTGCTATATTTTGGATAAATAATTAGGATTTTCACAGATTTCCGGAATAGGAAACCATAATTTTTCAAACAATGGGCCAGGTGTTGGAGGTTGGAAAGGACCTCTAAATTTTAGGCTTGCGATAAATTGGTTTATGGAGGCCGCAAAAATGTCATCGTTCGTGAATTCTGAGAACGAAATGATTTTTGGATCTAGTATAGACAGTGATTCGGAATGTCTAGGTGATATAGTTTTAAAAGTAGCGACTGCTATGTCTTTCAAAACTGTTACTGGTTCTGTGTGTGGATTAGGTAAGCTCAGAGTTACAATTAGATTATGTTTAAGATGCTGAACTGAAGAGATAACGCATAAGCCGTTTTTTTTCAAAACGTACGATTGGATATACTAAACCGTGTACATTGTTGATGTTAACGGCTTCTGTTTTTACTTAATATTCAACTACTAACTGCTGCTGTGGCTAAACTTTTTTTTCGAAAATTACGAAAAAACTGTTTTCAACTTATTTTTGGGTTTGTTTGTCTCAGGGCTTAATTTCCGTTTGAATTAAACCTAAAATTTGGCAGTTTTAACGAGCTAGATGATGCGGAAATTTCTATGTTGAGCTTTTTGAAAAAGAGGAGGCCCAAAATGATTGAGTTCAATTTTGGCAGAACGAGAAATGTATCTTCAAAATTAAAAAAAAATTCGAAATTCATTTAAGCTTGAGTTTGCACTTTAACTGGTTTCCAGAGGCGATTTTTACATGTGTATATTGGCTTTGAATCATTAATTAAATTTTCGCTCTTCAACTTTTCATAAACTTTCTGAGATATGGCGCTTATACAAGCACCACAATCAACAAGAGTTTTGAATCTCAAAGTGGATTGGAAAGTGATAGGCACGTAACTTAAAACGTCTCTCTGCATTTGGATAACTGCACAAAGATTAGCAAAATTATTATTTGATTGTATATGATTATTTATAAGTGATTTAGTGGTTGTTTGTGTTTTTCTGTGTGTCACGTGGCTTCATTTGTTTTTTGGCTGGGTTGGGAAAGGAAATTGACCGTATGTTTGCTGAAATGGACGTTGTGTGTAAGGACAGAATCTTTTAATAAGACCAGGTAAACCACATTCAAAGCAATGTTTGGGTCCCATGGATGTCACAGGAGTATTGATAATTTTGGGGGTCCGGATTAGCGTAATTTTGCCCTTGTTGCGGCAAAAATTGCTGGGGCAATTGATTATTTTGCGTGCATGTATTTTGGGTATAAAATGCTTGAAGCGGTGCAATTTGTGTTCCTTGTGGTCTTATGTTGTTTGAGTACCCACATTGCTGAAATGAACCCGAAAAACTAAGGAAAAACTGCCCCTGTGGTTGTTTTTGCTTGCCTCACAAAATTTTTTGCGGATATGACTTATTTTGTCATCTAAAGCCGCTTAATTGTTCTAAAAGTTCAATTCTAATCCAATTAGGCATCGCTCGTTTAAAGACGCAAACCCCTTAAGTGATCGCGTTCCTGCGTTGCGAATCGCTGTCGCTCGTCATTTGCGGCCTTTTCACGTGCTGCTCGATCTATGTCAGCTTGGCCTAGGGCTGCCTCTGCTGGTGCGACGGGTAAGGGCATTGGGTCGGGTAACGCCTGTTTGGCTAGCCCTTCAAGCTTAACTAAGAATTGGTCCGGACGCATTGTTTTTGCATCGAAGCGTGCGCTCTCTAACTCTATCATACGAAGCTCAGTTAAATTTGGGTTGGTAAAGTGGTCACGAAGAGCTACTAAGACTTTATCAAAATGCTGCTGAACTACTTGCGGCGGGATCAAAAAAAACTGTAATGCCTGTCCTGGTAAGTGCAATTGTAAGTATCCACTACGTTGGTTATAATTAACATTCGCGACGTCTACGACTCTTCGTATTAGAGATTCGAACTCGGTCCAATTTTTAGACGAAAGACCGCGCTAAATTTTTGAATACTTACGTTAGAATGAGGGAGGGCCATTTTTAGATTATTTAGGTTTCAAAAATTTGTGAATTTATTTTCAGTATGACTAAGGTGTAGCGCACCTCCGGTGCTTTGAATTTTTGACAACATGAAAAACTGCATATATTGGAAACGAGATCTGCAGGCTTTTATGGAACTCTGAAAGCACCCAATTACATGGTTGGTAACTTCATATTTGATAATTTTTTTAATTCCTTTTTCGGTCATCTCGAAAACGTCAAATCTCGAAAAAAGCAAGTATTTGAGTAGTCATATTTGGAGGCAAGATTTACAACTCCTAGGAGTTCCCTGGCAGCACAAACTACAGGGTTAGGAATTTCAAATTAAAAAACACTTCAAGTTGAGTTTTCTGAAACATTTTGAAAAAATCACAAGAACGTCATTTCTGGAAAACTTCGTAAAACACAAATTTGCGCAATCATAATTGGATGCAAGGTTCGCAACCCGCGAGAGTACTCTGATAGTCCCCATGTACAGGGTTGGAAATTTCAAATGTTGAAAAAAAATTTTAATTGGTTTTTCTGAAACTTTTTTGAAAAAAAAAAGTCATATCTTAAAAACTAAAAGCAATTGAGCAGTCATATTTAAAGGCAAGATCTGCAACTCCTGAGAGTACCCTGACAGCACCCAACTACAGCTTGAAGATATTAAAATTTCGAAAAAAAATATTAATTTAAGTTTTTGAAAATTGTTTTTGAAAAAATCACAAAAAAACGTCATATCTAGAAAAACACAGCAACTTGAGCAGTCATAATTGGAGGCAAGGTTCGCAACCCCTGAAAACACTCTGATAGCCCCAACTAAACGATTGTGATTGGAGGACTTAAGGAGATTGGAGAGATTTGAGGAAAGTCTGAGACCATTAGAAACTCCCCTCTGATCGATCAAAGACGACCTGGAAGAAGCTTGTGAGAGAAAAAGTAATCAAATTCGTCAAGCCCACAGATTGCACTGCAAAAAATACGAAACACAGTCGTTTGATTTAAGCAAAGAAATTGCCGTGGACCGAAAGCAATGGAGAGCTCTGGTTCGTGATATCGTCATTGCGGGCAATGGGCGGCAGTCCCTTTAACGCCCTACTTGGACTTGGCCACCCAGGCCAAATAGGCACTAACTTCACAGACTAACAAGTTATAATCACGCATTCTTGTTTGCGTTTTACTAGAATGGAGAAAAACGATGAAAGAAAAAAAAACTCTGATTACATGAACGGTGCTGGTGTACAAATTATTTAAAAAATCGTCCTTTTTGAATTGATTGATACCACAATTTCGTTCCGAAAACGAGCAAAAAGACTATAAAAAAGCTCTCGTTACTATTAAAAAATTCTCGTTACTTTCTATAAAGGAATATCAAGTGAGCATAAATGAAAAGTATCTTGAAAACAAAAAACTTAGAACAAAAATAATTGGAGACCAAAATTGTAATTCCACGTCATGATAGCGCCACATGATTGCGAGATGCAAAATTTTACACAATCTGGCTTAACCGTTACATTATCTCTAACCTTTGTATTCGATATCAAATATTTCCTGATGTGTTCAAGCTATCTAAAGTAGTACCCATTCCGAAGTCGAAAGTTATCAATCAATGCAACATGCTTCGGCCCATATCTGTTTCCCCGAGACTTCCTCGGATTTTTGAAAGACTCGTATTTGTGGCTCAATAAGAACCAATTTGGTTTCAGAAACAAATCTTCGACTAGTTGTGCGCTCATTAAATTAATGGACGACTGCAAGTCTCTCGAGAAACAGGGATGCGATTATATCCGAATCTTTTCGTTGGATCTTAGCAAAGCTTTGACAGAGTGCCACACCATCTCATAATCTCACAATTATCTGAAGTTGTCCCGAGTGTCAATTCCCTATATTGTAAACTTGATTCGTTCTTTTTTGATGCACCGGAAACACAGATCATCAACGAGCAGTACCAATAGTGGTGTAGTGCAGGGGACTGATGGGTCCCCCGTGTTTCAATCTTTCATATGACGATTGTCAAGTTACTCAAACCGTGGCGACATCTGCAAACTTTGCGGATGACAACACACCCTGCATCGGTGGTAAACATCGAGTTGACTCGGCAAATCAAGCCACCGGTCACATCATGGAATGGTGTGAATCCAATAATCTTATCTTGAACAACGAGAAATCCAAAGAAGTTCAGATCAAAATATCTCACTCAGTTACTATTCAACCAGTTCATGACATTGAGATCACCGACAAAGTTAAAATTCTAGGCATCACGTTCACCGATAAACTCTTTTGAACCTCACATAACAAAGGCAACCAAAAAAGCCTCATCACAGCTGTTTCTGCTGATTAAACTAAAAAGTCTTGGATACACCAAAACTGAACTCAATATTCTCTACAATCAGCTTGTTATGCCCATCCTATTGTATGGTATTCAAGTATGGGGGGCGCACCCCATTATTTGCTCGACAAGATGGACCGAGAGTCCAGAGGAGGGCTGTTGATGCAGGCGGTTATTCAAGGGTTTGTCTCAATCAACGACTTAGTAAGGAAAGAGGACGAAAAATTTTACCAATTTATATCGAGATATGACAACCATATTCTATCAAATATGATTCCATCTCGATCAGAGTATACCGAAGCAAAATTGAGTCGGCAATTATCTGATGAAAGAAAAATACATGCGGCATTTCCTTGACAGGTTCTTGAGAAACTACAATTTGTAAATGTATTTGCTAATCATGTTTATTGGGACATGTCTCTGAGAAGTCTCGGAATATAAGCGCTGTTAGTACGGTTCTGTAACTTGGCATACAGATCACTGATATTGCTGCAAACCATTTGACCGGAATGAAACTTCGGATTGTGATTGATTTTGCGATGAAAATATATGCGGCGTTTCCCTGACAGGTTCTTGAGAAACTACAATTTGTAAATGTATGGTTAATCAGTTGTTCTTTACTGATTTCGATTTCAATTAAGACTTATTTATTTAAAAACAAAATTTGTGAAGTGTTTTTTAAAATCAGGTTATTTGAAAAATTTATTTAAAACAAGCGAGAACGTCGTATCTCGGAAACTTAGGTAAATGAGCAGTCATACTTTGAGGCCACAGTTGCAACCCCTGAAAATACGCGGTCGTCCGCCTACTACAGGTTTGAGAATTTCAATTTTGTGAATTCTTTAAAACCTACGTTTTTTGAGATTTTGTGGAAAAGTCTTACAAAAATTGTCATATCTCATAGACACGGATTTCAGGAGACAGATTTCGTGTCCAGGTTTTTTTTTCAACCACAGAGTACCCTAACAGCTTTTCGACATAGTTTAAAAATTTTCGATCTTTATTTTTTAGGCTATTTGAGCTTTGTCAAAAACCAATTAAAAGAATTTGTTTTTTTTCTAAGGTTTGCCCTTCCGTAAAACGGAAAAAGCTATAGGGTTAACGCATTCACGCTCCTCAGATGTTTGGCGAGTGAACACAAACCCCATATACAAAAAATACATACTTTGGAAACGACAGTTAGTGATTATTCGAAAATGAAAACAGGAAATCGTTCGATTAACTAATACTTTTTAATGGATGTCTAAGTGCTCACATCCTTTCCGGATGAAAATTATATACAATTTCAATTATTATCCCAAAAGGAGTGACATCGCATCATCGAAAGGAGTTTGCTGAATACTCAGTTTTAATTCATTCTTTTCCATGGAGAGATGACAGTCATAAGGCCTCTTTACTGCGGTACTTACAACTGTTTCGGGTTCAATATAATCCAGTGAGATTTGTTTCAAACGAGCCATTCTTTGGACCATTTCAAATTTTGTCATGCACTCATTTCCTGAAAAATGCAAAACTCCTAATCCTTCTGGTTTCTCAGCTAGATAATTGCTAATTTCTAGGAGAAACATTGCAACGTCATCGCAAAAAGTGGGATATCTTTTCTCTATATGATTCATTTTGCACATTTGCTTCTCCAAAAAAGATAGTTTCAACGCCTTCATAAGTATGGTAACAGCGCTTTCATCCAAATCTTCGGTCCTTCCGAAAAGCACAGGAACTCTTAGTATACACCACTTTAATCCTTCTTTTGCCTTGACACATTCTTCTCCCGCTAACTTCAGTTCTCCGTACGTATTGATGGGGTTGGGTTTAGAATTTACTTCGTAGGGTGCATTGGTCCCGTCAAAAACATAATCAGTGCTGATATAGATCAAAGAAATATTGCTCGCTGCACAGATAGAAGCGATGTTATCAGTGCTGTTAACGTTTAATTGCTTTGACTTTTCTGGATTTTTTTGAACCTCTTCAGGTCTGCGTTCAGCTGCCGAATGGATTATTATATCTGGCTTGTGAGTCATGACAAATTTTATCACAGCCTCATTTTCTAGCAGATTTACTTTATGCAATGGAGATGAGGCCCGTGAAAAAGCCATTCCAATTATCTCAAAGTTATTTTTTATAAATTTGGCCATCACAGCGCGTCCAAGGAGACCAGATGCACCCGTCAGTAAAACTTTCATACTTAACTGAAATATAAGCAAATATCAGTGAGAGGCGAAGGCGATGCAAGAACAAAAAGAAAAACCGGAAACCCATAATTAAGCAGTAGGAATTAACATTTCGTCCAAGTACAATTTTTCTGTTAAATTATGAAGGTTTGTGTACATTTGTGACATTCGACCAGAATGTGTCAAAATGCAAGTTTGGATTCGAATTTTTATTGTTGCATCTGACTGGGAAGATTGATGGTTTTTACGAGTTAATGGTGTTAATTATTCTGTTTAACGAATCAGGAATGGTTAATTTGGATTGACATGCTGATTTTTAAAATTTCGATTTGAGCATGAACACGTAACAATGTAACAGTCGCCTACTTTAGTCACATATGAGGCTTAAGAAAAATAGGCCCTATAACCATTGGCTCAAGAGTCAGGGACACTATCTCTTGTGTTTTTCCGCCTCAAGAACGGTCGGAGCCAATTCGGTTCGCTTGCGACATGAGACTGGAACCCATTACAGCTTAAAGGCCACTACCAAAATACCCCCCCACTCTAGAAATAGAAACGTCCCCATACTTAGGTCTCGGAATACCCAAAATACATGAACGCCATTAAAAACCGGGTCGGAACCATCCGCTTAGTTACTTTTTATTGGACAGTGGAACTTTGATCCATTTCAGATGGATCAACCTAAAACTCGCCTTATCTCAACATAACTATCATAAAATGCACTCGAGAAATTTAAATTGGAACTTACATATCGACGCACTTGAGTATGAGGAGTGAGTTAAAGATGAGCAGCTTGAGAATTAACTAATATAACTAAATAAGTTTTAAGGCCAATTAGTTTCAATAACGAAAGTAAGTTCTGTCTCAAGAATTGAAGTTTTCGTTTGGACCATTAGGACACTCGAGTAGTCCTCTATTCCGTTGAAGGTCCACACTATTCCATTCGAATAGTGATCCTTCCTCAAGTCAATGTTGTTTTCTCCTGTTTTCGGGATAAGACAGCTCTACTCTCTTGATATTTCGTATCGAGAAATTGCGAACAGCAATCTCCTGCCTTTTTCTTGAGTAGTTTCCCGCTCTTGTTAATTCGGGTGTTCTCATTTCTGACTTTTTCATTTTCAGTTGGTTCGAGAAAATTGAGCATGACATGCTCAATTCGAATTTTGCAAAATTAAAATTTCACTCCAAAATTGCGTATTTCTCAAGGTCAAACCCCTAGACATGACCGACCCAAACATACTCCCCGGACTCGAGATCGATGTCCTCATCGTGTGTTGTCATCTGCCAATAAGTCCCAGAGAACCGAGTGTTGCTCAAGATACAGTGCCAGTGGTCATTTACAGAAGTTTGCATCGAACTTAAGCTTATCTACCTTGCAAAATTCACGACCATATAAAATTTTCACACTACCGCTAAACAGCAATCAAAATCTGCACACACCTGCACCCCTGGATCCCCGTTTTTTTTTTTTTAAGCTGGAAATTTTTAAAATTTCTTTTGTCCTATTTCAGTCAGAGAATTGTCATGCATCAGTTTGATTTATATACTAGATCTATCATATTAATAACAATATCTTATTCGTCTAAAATTTCTTTTCCGTGAACCCAGATTTTATCCAAGTTCACACTCAAGCCCCCTCCCTCTCAAGACTCAAGACTCTAGAATTTCCTTTCGAGCCACTGGCTCACCTCATGTTCTTCGCCTTCGAGGTACCTGATACCGGTGTTCTTGGCACTGTAATTTGTTCCAATAGTGCCTCTTCGTCATCGGAGCTAATCACAATTTCCTCCCAGGCCTTCAGCTGTTCATAGGCTCGCATCCACTCTCTCTGCTCTTGCAACCTTTTCAATTGACTTGGTAGGCCTTTCACCTTCGACTCCCGGTTCAAGCAGAAGGAGTTATGAAGACTCAAGCTCACATTCCTCGCCAGGTCCTCCTCCAGTATCGTTTCCCTCGCTCTAGAATTGTCTCTGGATATTCTGCCTACTCTTTTCCACCCCGCCGTGATTGCGTTTCGATGGGTTAGCAGAGGTCTCTTAAAGGCATCTGGCCCTATTTCAGCTTGGAATTGTCGATATTCCTTCTGATGTTTCCTCATGTGGTCCTTTGTCACTGCATACAACCAGGATGTTAACGTCGCACGAAACCAAGGAAAGAATCTCAGGCGGCTCCATATGTGTCTGACTTGCACTGGTATGGCGAATACCTTGCATGCAGTCTCGAACAACTCCAGTCTCCTGCTGTAATCTATCGCATAAATCGATTCAGCTGTTGGCGCTCTCGATTCTCTGTACTTCGCTATATTCTCCTCAATCCATCTCAGAGCCAGCATCGTGCTTACCACTAAGATGGTCACCTTTTGTCGATACTCCGGTAGTCCTAGCGACTTAATTTCTTCTACGTCCCAGATCAGACAGAGATTGGCGCGGTCCGGGTACCACACTGTCTGCGCCAGACAGTGGCATGGACAATCCCCATGCGTGAGGTCGATGCTTCTAAGGTTGCGTTCTCCCGAAGCTTCTAGGAGAGGCTCAAGTTCCATCATTTTCTCATGCACCACGTCGACTTCTTCCGAGCTTGAAGCACCTACTGCGGGTTTCCCCACCACGTTCTGCTTCCCATGATCACTTGCATTTTCGCTCTCCAAGCCTAGAAGTTCTTCACCCCAGATTTCACTCAAGTCATCTCTTTGCTCCTTTGGTACTGCTCCTCGGATCTTCCTCAATAGCTTGTGTGAGTGGTGTGACATCCGAGCTAGTCTCACGCACTTGGGCACTGAGAAGGCTTTGTCTATCATCACCCTCTGGCTGGACACCTCCACCATCGCCATGTGTAGTGGATAGTGGCTCCCACATAGGTTAGCCAACACTGATCCCACTAAGGATTTTGCATTTAGAGGCAATCCATAGGCTTCGCTCATGGGAAATCCCATCTCTGCCTCGAGTCCGATCTTCCAACTCTTGATGTGCTTCTGGTTCACTTGTAGCACTCCGGGCCATGATTCCACGCTTAACGCGGTCACCAGGTGATGTTCTGACTCTAGCCTCTCCAGTGACTGGAGACTGCACATTCTTGAGAAGAATCCCAAGGCTGTCGCTAGGTTCACGGTGGTCCTCGCGTAACATTCAGCCACTATCTGTACCTCACTCTTCTCCCTTTCAGTGATATCTTCAAACCAGGTAGTGAGGTCCTCTTTCTGGAAAGATTGTATCCTGACGCATAATCGTCCATCACAAATATGTTCGCCGTTACTGCATGTCGAATCAAGACAACTGCCCGGCTCCATCCTCCTCACCGGCTCTGTTCCACTTGTCACCTCACCTGATTCTTTCACCTGAGGCAAGATCAGTTTGTGTACTATGCTCAAGATCGCCAAGTCCTCATCCTCTGTCGGTGCCAATCTCACTCGCTCAGTGACCTCCTCAATCATACTTGCATGGGGATGTGGACACCAGGAAGGTCTGAGTAATTTCCATACCACTCCCAGGTTCGTGATCAACACGCCACTCCCATCACCCATTTTTAGCTCCACTCTTTTACTTGAGCGTGGCACACTTATCACTCCCGGCATCCCCTCAAGAACCAGACCCAGGCTAGGTCTCTCTCTTTCCACAACGTCTATCTCCACTATCTTCTCTGTCCAGAACTTCAACAGCTCCGCCACTTCATAATTTCTGTTGGCTCCTCCAGCTTCCAGGTCCAAGAAGGGGTTGTACGCCATTCCCATTACTCCAGAAACATATTGGTACTCTCCCTTTCTGTTGAGTTTCAAGTACTCCCCTGACGAAGCCAGGTTGCGGTGAACGTCGTGCTCCTCTTCGAACTTCTTGTTGTAGAACCTCCGTATCTCATCCAACTTCCTATGGTTCTCCAGAGATTGCCTAGAACCATCCTCCCTCTCTATCCCAGTGCTCTGATACACATTCAAGATGACTGTGGAGACTCTCCTTTCCAACGTCTTGCTTGCGACTGCTTTCTGATGACATGCTAGGATGGTACTGTCAGTCATCATCGACATCGTCCACCTCAAGAAACAGGTTGCATCCTTCCTCCTTGCCAGACTCAAGCCTGAGTTGTCCTTGGCAACGTGCTGCATCAACATTCGGTATATCTCTAGATTTTTTCCTCCCAGCTTCAACTTGTCGTATGAGGTCAGCGTCTCCAGCTCTATCCCCAACAGGCTCCACGCGAACATCAGTTGTCCTGCAGTCCTGATAAAGGGATTCGCCATCAGTGGTGGTGCCGATGAGGATGTCCTCATCGCCTCTTCAAAATGATCCTTCAATAAGTTCTGCCAGGATCTCTTCAGCTGGTTTGCCAACTCTATCTTGTTGACCTCAGCCTTCTGCTGGGTGGCCCAGCTGTATCGTTTGCGAGCCACTCCACTGTTCAACTTCTTCAAACAGCCTTCCATCTCCTTCAATGTCTCGAGAGCTATCCACCATGGTCGGGAGGTGTTTCTGGTTTTACTTTTCTCAAGTGGATCACTGGTCACTTGCTTCCCGACAGCTTGATGTTCACTTGAGACCCACTCTTTGCCAACATCTACTTCCCAGGTCTGCCCGCTCGTCGAACCTCGCTTCATTTTTATTCTTTGAGGTTTGAAATCTTCCTCCGTCACGGAACTAGTGGGATTCTCCATTTCTTTTTCTATGTCGAGCAGTTTCCTCGGTTCGTAGCTACTCTTGTAGGCTGCCGTTTTCCATCGCGCCAGAACCATGGGAGCCGTCTCTCTCAAGTCTTTTTCCGAGACCGCGTCAGCTGAAGGACTGCCCATTCCCTCCACGTCTCTCTTCCTCTTGCGAGACCTCACGTCTTTGCTTGGGGGCGTCACTGGTATCATCACTGATTCAACTTCCTTTTCTCCAGCCAACTCTTGCCTCCCCCCTGCTCGAGCCTTAAGGATATTAGTACTTTTAATCATATTACTAGTTCCTACCTTATCCCCCCTTGTACACTTAATTATTTTATTGTCAGTTTTCTGTTTTGGAGTAGAGCTGTCTTTACATTTGTC